AGCTAATTTCAATACAAGATTTGAGTGGGCCCTTTTTTACCAGGTGGGGCATCCCTGGTAGAAGTGGTGAGACCTGCATGGCCCTGAGTGCCAGCCAGTTTCTGGATTCGGGCGGCTACACTGGACTCATGCTGGAGAACGTTGATCAAGCGGCACCCCAAAATACTCAGTAGACATGAGCTGCCACGGCAGCAGCTCACTCTTAGCGCCTCAGGGGAAAAGAAGCGCAGGCTGCTCTTCCTGCCCTCCGATGAGTCAGTGATCGGTCCAAGTTTTAAAAGGATAAAAATGGAGACCAAAAGTCAAATGTACTAAAAAAACTGAGAATGTTCTCAAGCTTCTCAATATGATTGAATCAAATATCTATGAAAATATTAAATTAAACTAATATTAACTAAAAAGAGTATGCTGTATAACAAAACAAATTATATAACTTATGAAAATATTTAAGATAGACAAGAACAATACATTATCCATGAACACACATATAATAACTGCAAAAACACAAGAATGGGCTGGAAAGTTGCACCTTAAATTTGTGAAATAATTTTTGTGGGACAAAATTCAGAAAAGAAAATCAGAATAAGAGATGATAGGGAACCCAACTCTGTAATGTTTTATTTTATCTAAATAAATAAAAATTAAGTATGCTAATGGCATAATCCCTGATAATTCTTAAAGATGGAATTAAGAGGTTAAAATATTCTTTGTACTTTTTATTATTTTTATTTTATTTTATTTTTGGTGGTACCAGGGATTGAACTCAGGACCTTGTGCTTGCCAAGCAAGCACTTATTCCACTGAACTATCTCCCCGGCCTCCTACTTTTTATTATTTTTAAATTTATCAAAAATCTTTCATAAATAAAGCATAGTGAGGACTTCATAATATATACACTAGCTCTATTTACATTTACTGAGAAAGCTTGTAAAACTTTTCTGCTTTTAAAAGTTTGCCAAGTTCCTCAACAAAGTTGATACACAAATGAGACATTATGCTGCCCTTCCATCTTTTCATAATATACCCATTTGCCTGATATTTGAACTTGAAGAATTGAATGTTTTTTAATTAAGGATGAATCACAGGAAAAAATGGCAGCACTGCTTGTGGAACCTCTCTGGAGTGTGTGGGATGTGCTGTGGCCACTCACAGGGGCTGTCTGGGTACTACTGCGCCTGCGCCTACAGAGCAGGCCCACCCTGCTGCTTTCACCCTCACCACTGCTGGTCTCAGGAGGGGCAGAAGTAAACTGCTGCTGAACGAGGCCAAGTCATTAGATCACTCTTACTAAATTCAGAGCAGAGGTAGTGTCAAGTACAGGTTGTGCTTAGTGGCAAGGGTTTCAAGCGGCCATAAGTAATCAGATAAGACTTCTCCACATCTCACAAGTGCAGTGAATGCCCCGTGAGAGCTGGGCCCATTTGTTTTGGAGACATATTAATTTACCTTGTCCACATTCTCTCACCAAATAACAGGGTCACCACATAGACTGTCTGGTGAGGTCCTCAACAAGGGACCATTACGAGGAGTGCCACCCGCCTCATAGGCAATTTTGTTTTTAAAAGCAGTCTTCCAGATGTACTCATATTATAACTGCTAGTGCCACCATTGAGTTTACTGTAGTCTTCTGACAAATAAATTATGTTTATAACTGACATTTTGATCTAGTTTCCAAAACAGAAATTAACTTGATCATCAAAAGGCTATGTGGATATAACACCTAGAATAAACTGTCCTTACTACAAAGCCACTTTTCTGACTGATGAACTGATTGAAAAGTATCTTAAAATTAAAGTAAGCATCTACTGAGATTAGTGTACCAGCGAAATTTGAGTTTGACACCGCAAGCAGCTGTCATCTGCATTTCATGTTCTATTACCAACGTGACTAAGTCTCACTTAAATGCACAAGTAATTTCAATGGAATAACAAATGTTCATTTGCCATCATCATTGACAAACATTACATAGCTCAATTAGAATTATCACAGAATATTAAATTATATTAGTTCTATTATTAGATAGTAATACAGAGCATTATATAAAACAGCAATTATTTGTTATGGAAATTTCATCAGCATAAAAATTACATTGTTAAAATGTAGTGGCTTTTTATGTTTTTTTTTTTTTTTTTTTTTTTTTTTTTTTTTTTTGAGGAACCAGGGATTGAACTCAGGCCCTTGTGCTTGCCAGAGAAGCACTTATTTCTTTTTTTTTTCATAATTTTATTGATAAACAGCAATGAGACAGTTTCAAACCAAATCAGTAGGACGGTTTCAATAACTAACACACTACATATATTCTTCTTAGTGGTTAATTGCTGTACAAGATGCGGACTTGAGATCCTATTTACAAGGAAGTGCTTATTTCACTGAGCCATCTCCCTGGCCCTGTAGTGGCTTTTTAATCTATATTCTACATTCAAAGTAATACCATTCATTTAGACAGTAATTTAACAGGCACATTAAAGTTCCTAAAAGTATACTGTATTAAAATTGTCTACATGCCACAAACAAGACTGTGAGATCTTTGCGAGATAAGGCCAATTCTTATCTAACAAGAAATTAGAGCATTTCCATGAAAGCAGCCCATGTATTATCTATTATATGACAAATTATTAATCTTAATGACTGATTCACAACTACTGTGATTTAAAATTTGAATTTTCCTAATGAGGTATTACTTTGCCATAAAAATGGTAAATTGGAGCCATTTGTAGGAAACCGGATGCACTTTGAGACCGTAATATTAAGGGGAATAAATCAGATGCACACATTTAAATGTTGCATGGCTTTTCTTACATTAGAAACCCAAAGAGTAAATGAAGACCAAAACAAAATGCACGTAATACGAAACAGGGAAACAGAACGTTTGCAGAAGGGAAGAGGAGCAAGATACAGAAGGGGTGGGGATGGAAGGAAGAGGGTTTAAAAAAAAAAAAGAACTAATATGCTCATGTGTGCGGGAACCAACTCCCCACCACGCATGTCATCATGATGTACTGCAAATATGTGCCAATGAAAAAGAAACAAAACAAAATAAAACTTGAGTTTTCAATGATTTATGTTCCCTGTGTAACAGCTGATATTGAAAAATAAATAATATATATTCATCGAAGGCTTTACTTAAAGATCACCATCTGACTGGCGCAAGGATTACACAGGGCAAGACAACCACTTAAAGTAAGCTCTGGTTTCCAAAAGAACAACCATCTTTCGTAAGCGGCTTAGGCAAGTGAGCGGGAAATCACAGACAAATGAAAGGCCTTGCTCTGAGGCACCTTTAATGTGAATATTTTTATGCACTGTTATTGCAAATTTATTACTGGCATATAGCAGTCTTAAGCACTGAAAAAAAAAAAAAAGTCCTTTCACAATACTGATCTTGCGCTCTTCCAATTCCTAGATGGTGAGGTCCGACGGATTGGAAACTGAGAAATAAAGCTAGGAAATGATGATGAGAAGACGTTCTAGGTATTTGCCCCCAAACATCTCCCCTTTCTCCGCACAGCGTTTGTCCAACAGGTGTTGCCTTCAATGATTAAGAGAAGTTATAGTGAGTGTGTGTGCGTGTGTGTGTGTGTGTGTGTGCGCGCGCGCGCGCGGGAGCTCTGTACCCGGAGCTCTGGCGGGAAGTGGGGGTCTCTGCGCGAAGCCCACAGGACTTAGACCCTGGGTACAGCCTCGCCCCTTCTTCTCTCCCCCTCTCCCCTTGTCCATCCCCCCCTCTTTCTCCTCCCCACCCCCATCTTGGCGCGCGCCCTCCTCCCTGACCACCGATGGGCGGGGCGCGGTGGAGGGACACCTGGTTACCAGGCAACGGGATGCCCAGCTGGAAGCCACTGAGCGGAATGCGTGGGGCAAGGCAGTTGGAGAGACCTTGAGCAGCAGAAATGAGCCCTGGTAAGAGCCGGCCCAGGGAGCTGACTCTGGAGCGGAGAAGCGTGGGACATGGAGGGGAACGAGGAGGCAACAGCGGGGTTCCCCAGGTCTTCGGGCTCGGGGATCTTCGGGACAGGACGCCTTCCCAGCCCAGCGGCAGAGCCGAGGCCCGGGGCGCGCCGCTCTGGAGGCTCCGTGGGGCCAGGCTGCGTGGCTCCAGCGCGCCCTCCGGTGGCGGCCGAGGGCGTGGCGACCCGCAGCTCCCTGATAGGCTGAGCCCTACCTGGTCTCCCAGAGTCCGCAATCTGTTCTGTTACAGAAAAGCATCCTGAGGAAGAGGATGAAGTTGACGCGGTTCTTCTTTCAGCGTCCAAGATCCTCAGTTCCTCTGAGGGGATAAAGGAAAGTGGTAGCAGTGAAACAGGTAAAGTCTCCAAGACCGAGGCACTGACGCGGTGGCATTTTTCTGCCTTGTGCAGCACCCAGACAGTTCATGGAATCCATAAAACAGTCTCAGGCAATAGTGCTACCATTTTACAAAAGAAAAAACAGGCCCTGTTGTGTGACCAAATCCAAGGCCACACAGATAACAAGGGACATAGCCACGTTCAACAGGGTTCTCCAGGGTACAGATACTAACCGCTTTACTGCTTCTCAGGGTAGCCAGCAAGCAGCTAAAAGCTCATGTATTAAAAAACAGTAGGATACTGTAGGGGAAGAGGTTGGGGAAAACCAAAGAGCTGAAGGTCCCCATCAGTGACCAAGTTATGCGTAAGTACTCGGCTAGGAAGTCTGGAAACCCTGAAGTGGAGTCTCATCTCCTCGAGAGAAGCCCAGGGTGAATGCACACCTGTCAGCCTGGCCTGGTGTTCCGTAGGACAGGCCAGGGAGGCGCAGAGCACATGGGTGGATGTGGCATTCAGACTGATGAGCCAGTGGCCTGGTGGGGATACAGGTGTAAGGCAGGGGCAGAGAGGAACAGGGAAAGGGGTGAACTAGAAGAAGCCAGGGCTTCTAGAGCAGCCACACCACAGCAGAAGGAAGACAACTGGATGCTCAGTCCAACAGGATGAGAACCATCTCGGTGGGGGCAGCAGAGCAGTCAGGGAACCTTTGCTGCACCCTCACCATTCGTGGGGACCCGCAGGCTTCGCTGCTCAGCTGGAAGGGGATAGAGGACCAGGCAGGAAGAGCTTTCACGGAGAGCTCAGCCGTGAAAATGGGCCAAATTTACTTCTAAGCTCAAAGGATTTAAGGGCAAAAGAAGTGGAAATGCCTCAGCATGGCCAACTGTATTTTTTAACATGAAATGAGACCTTGAACCTGAGAGTCATTACCACGTCGCATTTTAAAAACTCCTATGTTCCCCTAGATCTGTGGGCCACACTGTATGCCTGGCACTTTCTGTATACATTGACTATGACATAATTTTCTTCAGGCTTAGGAATAAATTTTCTTATCTCTACCTTAATTATTTTGTTTTGCTTTGTTTTTTACTTTCATATTCACTTAAATATGACATAACTAGAGAATTTAAATCAACATAAGAACACCATTTACTACATTCCTAATAGATCAATTAAGGTTCTCAAGAGATGGAGCCATATTGCTTACTGTCTCCCAGCGCCTCCCAATATATATCTAGCAGAGGAATAATAAATAGCGATTACACAGCCTTGTATGGTTCTCGGAAGATTTCCCTTCCACTTCAGGAAGCGTTTAATTCTGTCCAGCTCTTTCATGATTGTTGAATTTAAAATTACCTTTACATTGGGAGTATGTAGCAGCCAAACACTATGAAACTAAAGAAAAAACACATTATTTTAATAACCTAAAAATAGATGAAACCAGTTTTCTGCCTACTCTACTGAATCTTCTGACTATTGCTAAGAAAAAAAAGTCACTTTTGAGTTATACCATGAATTTAAATAAGCACCCAGTGCTGTTTGGAATTTATTTTATTACTCCGACAAATTATTTCTCTTACCCTCTGCAATGGTTGATACAGTGTGTCAACTTGAGAAGTTTAGGAGCTTAACTAAGCCACTCCACGCTCAAGGGCCCTGGCTTTGCAGCCTCCCGAGCTTGTGCAAGAGGGGGGCACGGAGGTCGTGAGAGAGCTGCGCCCTCCCTGAGCAGCTTGCTCACATGATAAGGGAGGAGAAGAGGCTTGCTCTGCCCAGCTGCTGCTCTGGCTGCTGGTGCTGTCTTCTGCCGCCGCGAGCTGCTTCCCCTCTGCCCCGCTGCCATGCCTGGAAGCCAGCTCAGACTGGAACCTCCACAAACCATGAGCTACATAAACCTCTACTCCATTAATTTTGGGTGGCAAGGTATTGCCTCTCAGAAAAGTGACCAAGACACACTCCTCCACTTGGAGACAACTGCTGTGCTCTTCTTGTTCTCCTCAAATCCCCAGCACCTCCCTGCACTATTCCTCAACTCAACATGGTCTTGTTTTTGACCACTGTGATCCGTATTATCAGGTCCATACTCTCAGGGGTGTATTTTGGTATAAAAGAAAAAGGCTTTATTCAAATCCAGCCCTCATCATTCTCACCTTGTACAGGTGTGCACACACCTTTGCTAGTAAGCAACAAAGGGCACCTGAGACAACAGCCCTCTCCAGACCCGCTTGTCCCTCCCAGCCGTTTTCTGTTCCCTAGTTCTCTGTGGGCGCAGAACTCAGCCTGCCTTCATGATGCAGCTCATCCTCCTGTCCATCCTCTTCTCATCCTGAGCCCCACCGACTCGTTAAGCTACAGCGTTCCTTCGACAGACACAGGCCATTTGTCCTGCTCCCAGACCTTGCTGGTTCCTCTGCCCCGAATTTCTCCTGCAAGTGTCCGCAGGACTGGCTCTTTCTGTCTCTTAGGACTCTCAGCTGGTGCTTATCTGAGCAGGTGTGACTTCCTTAGCCTCCCCTCCAAAACTGTCTCAAAACATGTTTCTTTGCGGTATTTATCACTATTTATATATATCATATTTCTTTTTATTTAGAAACTGTGAAAGCTAGCACCTACAATAGGACATATTGGAAAGGAGACGCTGAGTATTTAAAGGAATGAAGCTGTTGAAAGAATAAGCCACTAACATATGAAATAGCAATAACAAAAAAGCTGAGCTATTAAGTTATAAGACTTCTTCTAGACTTTCAGGGAGAGATTTTTGAGAGTAACAGAACATGTAAGAACTTCCTTCTGTAGTTCCAAATGAAACCACCACCACCACCAAAAATGCTATAAAATGAGAAAAAAATATCTCTAGCAACACGGGGGGGGGATGGATATCTTAAATCATACAATAGGAAAGTGGGAGTCAAAAATAAAAGCAGAAGGTTTTGACAAGGTAAACTGTACCCTGGCTTCTAATTCTCCCCCTGATTTGCATAAGCAATGAAGAAAGTCAAACTCCTGAAAATACTCACGGGAATCCCCCAGTCCATATGTGAATGCAAAAAGACTGAGGAAATACCTATGTGTTTCTATGATTGTTTAGGGTAGGTAGGAAAGAGAGGATACTGGAACTAGATGGACAGACCTGAAGGTTGGCTAATAGAATCTTGCTGTGAGAAATGAGAGGTTTGGGATAAAGCTGCCACTCATCCACAGACTACTTTTGTGCAGACTGCAAAAAGATCCCGTCTTCTAAGTAGATCTGAGAAGAAGTGGAGACTAAACAAGTTGCTCAGGCTAAGCCCAAGCCCTATGACAAGAAGAAGCATAATGACTATGCAAATCTACTGGGGCCTAGAAAAGAAGAGATGGAAAATATATAAATCCTATCATTTTTTCATAAGATTCTTTTATTTACTGTATCACTTTACTAAGTTCATAGCTTTCTTTTGAGGCCATATTTCTTGTTTGGTGTGAGCAAAATAAATCCTGTATTTAGCTTTGAATTTGGAAATTTTCTTAATGAGTTGAACAGAAAGACGATTGCTACAGGTGGAGAGTAAAGGTAAAATTTTGAACAGCGATGCCATTAAGAATAGGCTGGAAGTATTTCAGAGAATAATATCCTACCTTTGTGTGTAAATAGTTCCATGGGAGTTGTGGTAACAGAACAGAATAGAAACATTTTGAAACTGCAATGTGAAGATAATATGAATAGCAAATATCATAAAGAGTGAGGGGTGAGGAGTGGATGTGAAAGAAAATATAATGCTGGTTTTCTCATCTTTTCGGCAAGGAGTAAATTAAAACTGAACACAATAGAAACGAATGTTTTTAAAAACAAAACTTCTAACTTCCTAATCCTTTCCATGGTCTATTTTTTCTTTTGAGTATATTTTACTTCTATATATACAGTAATTTTATATACTTATGCAGTACAAATGATATTTCAATACATGTACACAATATATAATAATTAGAGTGGTGTAATGGACATGTCAATTACCTCAGGTATTTTTCTTTATGCTGGGAATAGTCAAAATCCTACTAGCTATTTTGAAAATTCAGTTAATGATTATCTGGTAGTTATCTTGCTGTGCTACACAGAGCATAGAAATTATTCATCCTGTCCAACTACATCCCTGCACCCATTAGCCATCCCTCTCTTCTTTCCATCCCTCTCTTCCTCACACTCTTCCCAGGATATGGTGACCACTCTATTGTTCTATTTTTCTGACGTCAATATGAAACTATGCAGCATTTATCTTTCTGTGCCTGATGTACTCCAGTTAACATAGTGGCCTCCAGTTCCATATACATTGCTGCAAGTGACAGAAGTTCATTCTTTTTATGAGTAAAAAATATTTGCATATATATACACTATATGTATGTATGTATATATGTGTGTGTATGTATCTATGTATGTATCACATTTTCTTTATCATTTCATCAGTTGATAGACACTTGGCTTGATTCAACTTCTTGCCTATTGTGAACAGTGCTACCATAACCACGAAAGTGCAGATGTCTCTCCAATATACTTACTTCATTTCAGTATATGCCCAGTAGTGGGATTGTTGG